AAATTCATCTGATTTGTGACTTCCAAATTCTACATAGGCATTTCAATTATTTAGCCAGTTTATTATTAGTTTTAATAATTCAAGGGGCATTTTCATATGGTATAACTTTACAATAAGGCGCTCGTGCCATACTTTATCATATGCTTTCTTATAATCGACATATATACTGAGCGTTGGTACATTTGCTGCAAGAAAGTTCTTTATTTCCTGATAAATTGATAGTACTCTACTCTGTAGTAAGTTTCATTTTCTAAAACCTGACTGTTCCACCGGTATTATATGATTGGTTTCAGCCCAGTATTGAATTCGATTCAACAAAATTTTTGTGAACAATTTGGAATGAGTAGCTAAAAACGAAATAGGTCTGGTTTGATCACAGTGGGGCGAACCTCACTTTACTTTATTTAGAGTTATTATTTTTGATAGTTTCAATCATCTATTAGTATTCCTTCCTGGAACCAATCATTAAAACATTCACTTAAGCACTGTAGGTAGCCTGGGAGTAGGCGTTTGATCATAAAATTGAATATAGCATCGTACTCTGCTGAGTTTTTTGGTTTTGGAGTATCAATCGTTTTTTTTAAGTTCTTAGGGCGATGTTAACTCAATTCTTTTCTTATACGCTTTGACTTGGTTTAGAATGTGATTATAATCGATTTCTACTTGAACATCAAAAGGATCATTTTGGTTTATTTTAGGAGGAGTAAATAGGATTGAGTAATAATCACGTAGTTCTTTTGTTATTTCCTGTTGCGAAGTAATCTCTTTTCCGTTCACTCTGAGTTTGCGAAAGAGTAATGATTTCGATCGAAAGATATGAGAGAGATGTTTCCAAAAGCTTGATTCGGACCTACCATGATTTTGTTGAATGTTTTCTAAGAATTCGTTCCATCTATTAGATCGGTAGATATTTATTTCTGTTTTAACATGTCTAGTCATTTGACGAAGACACATTCGATCATTTTCCTGTCGATATTTATAGTATCTATTTCTAATCTTGTGTAGTTGATTCAATTTTTCATGGAAGGGGCAGCGGTAAAGTAGGTTTCCATTTAGATATTTCTTACCAATTCGTAAGAATGGTTTTTTAGTGCTGCTAAGAATCGAGTGTAATTTTTATACCATTCAGTTGTTGCCATAAAGTCGCTCTGTTTAATCCAAAACTCTTGTATTATATACAAAATCACCTCGAAGTGTTTCCAATTAATCGTAGCAAATTTCCGAGCGGTTGGGAGGAAGATGAGTTCTGACCTGTAAACTAGTGGCCAATGGTCGCTAGTTCCGAAATTCAAAGTCTCCCCATTTATTTCCGCAAAATTCGTAAAAATCAAATCGATGTTTCTCAAGGACCTTTTTGAGGAATTTGAAGTGCTTGGAATGTAGGTTAGTAGATTTTCTTCACTCCACTTCAATATACTCTGCCCTCTTTTGTCTGTTTTTGGACTATTCCACAGTGCTACTGAGGCATTAAAATCTCCGGTTATGATTGTATTTTTTATTATATATGGATTTACTTCCTCTATATTTCTTTGCTGGTTATTTGGCCAATAAATACCTATTACTCTTATTGGTTTATTTAGTCTTATTATATCTATTGTTAGGGCATTTTGTAACTTGGTTTCCACCTTTGTATCAGTTAAATGTTTTCCTACTGCTATGGACACACCTCCGTTTTTATCAGTTCCCTCGTCGTTGTTTTAGATTTATATCAGAAACACTGATAGTATAATCCTTCGTGTTGCGGTAGTTCCTCATCGATACTACAAGTCAATTTATTCGTTATGGCAACTAACACTTCAGCACCACAACAAAATTCATCAAATTTCCAGGCCATTGAGCCGTTGTTCTATCAAGAATTCGATACTATCGATCCAGTTTTCGAAGAATGGACCTTAGAGCGAATGCCAAAAAACGTTAATACAAAGCGTATTAAGTTGGATAAGAATCAGATGTTTGGTAAATGGGTCTATGCAAGTTACAATACAAAAGGAAAGTAAATTGCTTATTGAGTAAATCGTAATCATCTTTTTCATTTATTTCATAGATTTCGCTGCTTAAAGTGTATTAAGAGCGGTATTGCACCCATTGATGCTACATGGAATTCTGCTTAAACTACTGTTCTGTTTCGAGCATACTATGGGCCAGATACAGATGAATACGGACAACATTGGATTGGTGGATGGATTCAAATGAAAATATTCGCTCAGCAGTGTAAGAAGTGTGATGAATATGCCACTGACGAGCTTGATGATCAACGATGTAAAAATGTTGTAAAATGGTTACATCGCTGGATTGCTCATATGTTTTATGGTTATCCTTTTCCTCGTCAGGGTTATCAAGGAAGAAGAAGTGATCAACATCATCTTGCCAATCGATGTGAAGCATGCGCAGCAGGATGGTGCCATTATCGCGGGAATCGATGCCAATAAAAAGGACCTATTATTACAGAACCCAAATGACATCAAGATATATATTAACCATTAGTTTGATGTATTTCCTTTCTAGTTAATCTATAGTTGTACTGAGTGATGTGAATGAAATTTTTTCTTTTGTGTAGCGAGATTTCTACTTTGAAGGAAAAGAAGAAATATTGTTTCGTAGTCGCGAATAGAAGTTTTGACGAAAATCAATTATAAGGTATGGATATCGAGAAAGTGTCACTTGATTTATTTTTAATTCTTTCTCGACAATAAAGATTGTGACAAAAAGCCTGGCACTCGATGTTTCACATCAATTGAATTCGATAATGAAATTTTTTATCGTGAAATATTCAGTGAAGCAGATGCAATTTAAATAGTGCTAATGGTTAGTTTTAGGTATAGGACAGTTCCATCTCAATTTCGGTCTTGAGAACTGTTCCAACAGTTCTTTGATAGGAACTGATCTGTTTCTAATAATGCTTTTAAAAGAATGGGTCTTTTCCTACTAGCTCTTCAATAGGGTGTGGGTGTGGATACGGGTTTTCCTCTTTTCGATATTCACACCCACACCCACGCCACTCCATCCTAGAACTAGAACATATATTCAAGTGTCATATTCATGATGTAAGTTATAGATAGACACTTCCATGGATATCTGCCTACGTTCCACAGAAAATTATTGCATTGTGTTGCTGATGATGACTTTCTGTACACTCACATTCACGTCTATCCCACTGTCAACATATCATTAGCTTTAGCTCTTGAATTAATCGCATGCACAGTTCAAGAGAAACAAAGACATTACTCTTTCTACATCAAAGGATAGAATGAGGTTGAATGCAATTACGAATCTGAGTAATTTATTCTGCTATTATGCTCATATCTTGATGAAAATAAACCTCATTTTCGCAGTAATATACACAACAACTCTCACAGATGAGTGCTTTTAGATGTATACATCCACATTTCGTACGATGATGCTCAATGTATTCTAAAAAAAGACATTAAAAGCAGCATCGAATTCTCGATATGAAACACATGTTACTGTTTTATAGGTTTTCCAATCAAAATTTGTTTCGTCAAATATTGTTTTATTGTTTAAGCAGAATAATAAATAATTTATGTCAATGACGTCAATTTTTTATCGACTTGGGGCTTTTCGTTTTATACTGTAAACTCGGCGTTGCTAAGCCTCTATTATGTTAGGATTGAATAGACGATCCATCATCGTGAAGAGTGCAAACATGCCAATCATATTGACCGGAGGCATAGATGTCATGGTAACAGCATTCATAATAGCCATAGGCTGACAACAAAGTCTTTCAAAGTCTACAGGAGGCATAATGTCTATCGGCGGCAATGTGATCGTTGTAGTTGTCGTTGTCACTGCTATATAGAAAAAAAAATACGGTTGGCATCATATTCGATATTCATGGTTCTGAAAACACTGATATTGTTATTGACAATACATGCTAATGAGAAACTCTATATTATGGCCGACTTCACAGTGTCTCATCGATTGCTATATCATTCAGATAATGCCTGTGATAATAATATTCAAATGATAAAGCGCACTGTCAGAACATCTTCAACCATCGAACACTGCAAATAACTGTGAACAATGGATCTAAATCATAACATCAGCCTATGACAATTCAATGCTTTTCTTTTTCACAAGTGTGATTTTTCATTATCTTTATATACTACTTATAAAACGTGTGAACAGTTATGTTGAACATCTTCAACTCTTATAAATGGTAGTGAACGTTTTATACGGTCTCATCACTTAACTTAGGAAGTGGCAGAGCTTTTCAAGCTGAGAAATCTATATGGCGAGTTACATGTTTTACTTCGTTCTCAATTGTGTGATTTGCAATTGTCATACTTATCACTTCAAATCTAAACTAGACTTTTCAGAGCAACGACAACAACTATTTCAGTATTGGATGAGAAAGAGAACGTTGCTGATTTTTTTGAAAGATCTTTTTATGTTCCCCATCATAAAGAAAAGATAATACGTCTAACTAACTTGTCGAAGCACTAATGTCCGCGCCAGAATTAAACAGAGATTAGTGTAAATTGAATAACTCAACAACTGCAAGAGCTAGCTCTTGCCGTTTTCACCAATCGATAGAGGAGACCGGAGGACGTATTTTTTCACCATATTGTTTTGGACAAAATTGTTTTGGACACTGTTATTTCTGGAAATCTTTTCTGAGAAGACGAGCAGATGGTATGCCAATACAATGAATTTTTATTTTGATATTTTCATTAGATAGAGGGACTTCAGATCTATAGTTCAAGATACAATGAGTTTTCTTACTTTTCATTACATTTTCATTGAAATGTAAAGCTATTATGATAAAAAGCGCAAGAACATAGTAAAAAATCAGCAAAATTCACTGTTATTTGCGCATGTAAATACATGATTCCATTTGCTCAACGTTAGAATGTATAAAGAGAACCATTTGCATTGTATCTTGAACTATAGATCTGAAATCCCACTATCTAATGAGAATATTAAAATAAAAACTCATTGTATTGACATACCATCTGAACGTCTTCTCAGAAAAGATTTCCAGAAATAACAGTGTTCAAAACAATTTTGTCCGAAACAATATCGTGAAAAATACGTCCCCTGGTCTCCTCTGTCGATTGGTGAAAACAGCAGGTCGCTAGCTCTTGCCACTGTTGAGTTATTCAATTTACACCAACCCTTCTTTAATTCTGGCGCGAACATTAGTCGCATTATCTAATTCTGTTTTATCCTTGCGATACACTTCAAATTGAAAATAGATGCCTATAATTGATACTACCAACCTTGGCTATTCGAAAATATAAAAGAAAAACACAATTGTTGCTCCATTTTTATATACTCATAATTTGTCATATTTATGTCATGAATATAATTTTTTCTACTGCCATTTAGAATTGTAAAGTCATGTTTGACAGCATAAGGACTATGCGAGACCTTAGTACAATTACCTGTTGATGTTGGTCAATGGTATTCTTTTAACGGCAATAGCTAGAAATTAAATTACATGAAGTATCATGACTCTGTTTTTTTCAACTGTGTTTTTGCCATTTTTAATGATCGTTTACTATTTCTCAAAGAGCGAAATAGGTGTGTATGTAGTTCTAGTCCCAAAACATACCTTATGTGAAAGTTCTGTCACTTAAGGTTAACCTGTTATTGGAAAACTATTAGATAAATGTACTATTCAGACACGAAAGTAGGGTATGCAAGTATTATTAAGGAGAAGACTTTTACCAGCATTCACATCCATACCCACACTCTCATAAGGAAACGCTGTAGACATCAATAGAACATATGTTAGTACTGAGTTATCCACTTACAATATTTTCTAACGTTTCTATTTTTATACAATCGACATTTTCCTCGTTTTGCGTACTTTTTTCGTTCTATTTTTGTTTCAACATTTTTTCTTTCGGCTTTTTTATATCGTTCACGATAACAATCCAAATGAGTACTACAAGTGAAAAAGGACGAGACACTCAATGAACCGCTGAAGGCAGTTGTGTATAATGCGGAAATAAGCTCATCCTTGTTTGAATGATACTCTGTATACGATGATGCCAGGCAGCTCCTCATCATGAGTGAATAATTGTATGAGCTTCTCTAGGTCCGAATCAACTGTTTGATCTGATATTTAAACTGAAATAAGTGCTAAGCCTAGCAATGTTGTAGTGACAACTAGAATGAGACTTAGTTGATGAGCATGAAACTTCATAGGTGTGCTAAAGTAGTTTTGCTTGCTAAGACTTCATGAGCGACTATAAAGTGCGAATAAAATTTCAGTAAAAGCTCAAATAATTCAGGCAAACCAATATATCTCTGAGCAGTTGTACAGCATTGCGCAAATGTATTGTTGATTTTTACTTTTTCTCTCTCTCACGAATTCATAAATGTTACTATTAGAACAGATACAGTGACAAACACACAAAACTTGATGCAAAATTCAACCACATGGTACATGATGCGCATTGAGTGCTTTCGTAATGCTATTGCAGAATCAATTCAAATTGGATCTACGGTATGCACACACTTAAGATATAAGAAAAGAGAAATAAACAAATTGGATGTGAGTGTGGTTGTAGATGCGCGTGAGTATGGCGGAGAGTCTTCTCCTTATCATTCACCCACGCCCACACCTACATCCTAACTCCATCCACGTCCACATCGATATTCACACCTCAAACCACACCCGTACCCCAGCCCCATACCCACACCCACACCGGATCGGATAAAATCAGCAAAATACATATAATTCCCACTATGTGATGAAACCACATACATATGAGATATATTCGGGAAGATTGATATTTACATTCATAAGGTATTTTACAGGATATTAGTTGTGAAAAAGCTTTCATTGGAAAACTTTTTTCCTTTCTTCCTCCTGCTCTGGTAGACTTCTAGGGGAAGGACAACGATAGTAAAGAAATCTATCCTGTAGAAAGAAAGGGATGGAAGGATTAAATCATCAGCATATATTTAGCTTGGGTCGATCTGTTATTCGAGATTGTTTAGAATAGCAATTGCTTTTAGTCAAAAATATCGTATATTTATCTAAATATGTAACACTTCGGTTGGAGCGACAAAAAATTATTTAAAGCATCTATTAATCATAAAAGCTATTAGATGAATATCTAAAATTAAGGTTGAAACTATGATTTTGATCATAAGATATTTTAATCCATCGAGAGAAAGCTGCTTTTACAGTAAAATAGTTAATGCATCTTCAATGATTATCTATTAAAAATCATAGATTTTGTAAGAAGAAAAATAGTGACACTAACTTAAAAATAAATTGTTGAAAATTATTTTTGCTAGTAAACGTATTTTTCAAGCTGATAAACACCTTGAACAATACACTATTGTACAGAAAGAAATCGTAACAGAGATAAACGTTTTTAAGTTTCAGTGGTGAAGTTTTTTGTTGTTGTTGAGACAGTAACATATCAGAAACGAAATGGTACAACGATAA